GTTTGAACTGCTAGCCTTCTGGTTAGCAGTCAAGTACCTTGGGCATTACACTATTAGGTTTATATCCTAAAGAAGTGAGAACCAGGACACAGACAGACATGCACACCCATGTTCATCACAGCACTGTTCGTAATAGCAAAGAGATGGAAACAGCATAATACTCATCAACGGATGAATGAGTAACCTAACTATGGTATATACACACAATGAAATATTGTGCAGCACTAAAGGATAGTGAATCTGGGAAACACCTCATAGTGTAGATGAACTTGGAGGGCGTTGTTGTTACGTGCCGTCAAGTTGGACCCAACTTATAGCAACCCCTCCTTGGGTTTTCAAGGCAGTATCACTATGGAAGTAGATTGCCCCATCTTCCTTCTGAGGAGTGGCTGGTGGGTGGAGGACATTAGATTGAGTGAAAATATGTCAACAGAAGAACAAGTATAAGTCACTATTGGAAAGGTTTACACATGGAAGGAAACTTTCTTTGATGGTTACCAGGGAGGGGAAGGGAGGTAATATTGCTAGATAAGTAAGAGACAAGTATTGATTTGGGTGAAGGGAAAGGCAATATACCAAAACCGAGTGACCAACACAGTAACACTAAGGAAAAGGAAGACATGGAGAGGTGTACAAGAGGTACAACAAAAGTAAACACTTTTGCATGCATAATACTGTGTTACCAGTAATGACAAACATTAATCTACAGGTGAATACACAAGTAGACATGCTAAACAATCAGGCATGGGTAGGCAAAAGGCAATACACCCATATATATATATATATATATGTAAGTTTGGTGGAAGATTATTTCTACATATGTTACTTATATGTGCTGTAAGAATGTCCATGTATTACAGTGTTAACGGGGCAAAAGTAGGATAACTTAGCCGCAGCCAAACACCTTGAGGGAGTGAGTTGCAGGCTCTGGACCATGGTCACGGGAGTCATCAAGCTCAATTGGTGTACTGCACAAAAATACTGTTCTACATCCTACTTGGTGAGCAGCAACTAGGGTCTTAAAAGCTTGTGAACACTGCCATCTGAGATGCAACAATTGGTCTCTCCTCATCCAGAGCAAAGAAGTATGGAAAAAAAAAAAAAGATGATGAAAACAATTAGTCCAAGGGACTAGTGGACCATGCAAACCTCAGCCTACATGACCCTGAG